CTACTACTACTATTACTATTGTTATTACTACTACTACTACCAGTATTACAATTTCTATTACTATTACCGCTACTACTACTTCTACTATTGGTAATACTACCCACATCTGCTACTAATACTCCAACTGCTATTGCTTCTACCTGTGCAAAAAATGGTACTGCTTTAACCACTACTACTACTACTATTACTACTACAAATTTCACTGCGACTGCAAGTGCTATCATTACTAATACCATTTTTAAAACAACTACTACCACTAGTACTCTTTCATTATCATCATCATTATTGTTGTTACTACTACCATTGTTACTACTACTGCTGCTATTCTACTGGTACTATTACCACTACTTTCAATGATGATAATGATAATGATGGTATTAATCATAATGGTGATAATGATTGTTATAACAATAATAACACTGTTGATGACGGCAATAAAGAAAATGATAATAATCATAATAATGATAGATATAACGATAAAACTAACACCAATAATATAATAATAATAATAATAATGATGATGGTAATGATAATGAAAAAGATAATGGTAATGATTATAATGATTATGATAATAATATTAATAGTAATAATAATAACAATAATCTTAATGGGATAATAATAATGATAATAATATCAATAGTGATAATGATAATAATAATAATAGCAGTGATATTAATAATGACAACAGTAATAATGATAATGGTAATAATAATAATGATAACATTGTTGAGAAAAATAATAACAATGATCAAAATAGAAAAATGATAATAATAATAGTACTGCCGCTACTACCACTAGTGATGATAATGTTGATAATGATAATGATAATAACTATCAATAACAACAATTATATCATAATCATGATATAATAATTATGATAGTAATGATAATGGTAATAATAATAAAGATAATGGCAATGATGGCAATCAAAATAATCATAATGATAGTAATAATGATAATCGCACTAACAGTAATAATATTTATAATAATAAGAATGTTGATGATAATAATTAAAATAAAGTACTCATAAAGATGATAATGATGATAATGATAATCATGATGATAATGATAACAATAATGATAACAATTATAATAATCATATCAATGCTGATACCTATAGTAACGATAGAAATGATAATAATGGCAATAAGTATGAAAATAATGTAACAGTAATGGTGATAATAAAAAAATAGTATTAACGATACTGGTGGTGATATTGACAATGATAATAATTATAATAATAATGGTATTTGAAATAATAGTAAAAATAATAATGATATAATTATGATAATTGTTATGATTATTGTAATATTGATATTTTAAATATTAATGATAATAATAATGACACTAATGATAATTATAGTAATTAAAATGATATTGATAATGGTAATATTGACAATAATAATCAGGATGATAATAATGATAATGACGATAATAATATTAATAATAGCAATGATATCAATGATAATGATAATCATACCAATGATGATGATAATGATAATGATAGCAGAAATAATAATAATGATGATAATGATCATAATAATGATGATCATGATAATGATGATAATGATGATCATAATAATGATGATAAAATGGTGATAATAATAAAGATAAGAGTAATTGTAAAAATAATAATAAGTGATAATAAAACAAAAATAACAATAATGATAATGATGATAATTACTTAATAGTAATAACAACAGTGATAATGATAATAATTATAGTAGTAATAATGATGGTAATGATAATGATACGGATGATGATGATGATGATGGTATAATGATAATGATGACAATAATGACAATAATGTTAAAAGAATAATGGTGATGATAATAAGGATAATAATAATAATGATAATGATGATGACGATAGTAATAATCATAAAGATATTCGCAATGATAATGGTAATGGTGATTAGTAATAAGAATATAATAGTAGTAATGATGATAATGATAGTAATAATTATGATAACACTGATAACAAAAATGACTGTAATATTAATAGAAATAGTCAACATCATCATCATAATAATCATAGTCAAAATGATGGTAATAGTAATATTTATGATACTGAATATAATAACGATGATAATAATGATAATGAATAACAATGGTAACGATCATAATGATAATGATAGTAATAAATATAATGATGATAATAAGGGCAATGACAATGATAATTATGGTAATGAAAATATAATAGCAAAAATGACAATAGTAATAATAATAATAATTATGGTGACAATGGCAATAATGATGTTAATAACGTTGATAATGATTATAATAGTAATAATCATCATCATTATTACTATGATGATGATGATAGTAATAAGGGTAATGATGATAATGCAGATGATAACTAATGATAATGAGTAATAATATTTTTAGTTATGATAATGATAATATTGAATATAATGGTACCAGTGCTTATGGTTAAACTACTAATACTAATGTTAAGGATGATAATGATTTTGGAATTTTAACATTAAGAGAAACTGTTATGATAACAATAATAACGATGAAAATGCAACTACCGATTCTGCTACTTATGATGATAATGATAATAACAAGAATAATGACGAATATAGCAATCAATATTAATGATGATGATTATGATAAAGATGATAGTGAGAACAACAATAATGTTGATAATAATAATTATAATAGCTATGGTAACAATAATGATAATAGAAATTATAATAATAATAACAATAATAATGATAATGACGAGAAAGATGGAAATGAC